ACCAGTCACACCATTTTAAATGTTAAGTTCTATATAATCCAAGACGTCTTGAGTTCCACAAAAATTACACAAGAAAGGGGAGGTTTTTTAAAAAATAAACTATCTTGCCTATACTGAGTACATACTTCAATCTGCGCTATAGTAACCATTGGTAACACCACTAATAAAACTTAACGATATGGACTTTAATCCATCAACAAAAATTGTAACAGAAGCATCCAAAATTAAAAAATGGCAATCAAAAACACCCAAATCAAGAACAACAACAAGAATATATATGCAAAGGATTCGTTACTATGATCCTTGTCAAAATTAATAGAAATTTTGAAACGTATAAACATAGAAATGAAAAATAAAAGGTAAATTCTTTGAAAGACATGAAAACTGATTAAAAAGTTTGGCTATTCCACATAAGTATCAAGAAAAAATAATAAACTAGATTAAAATAATTCGAAGAGGTCAGTATTCTATCGAAACCAGACGGGGATCGCGATTTCGATCTTTTTGGATCTCATCAGCGCGTCGCAGGCAGCTCCGACAGAACACAGACCAACTTTTACCTGCTGTCTTAACAGTGCGTTTTAGAAAATACTACAAATGGCGCAGTAAATGCCATCTATAGCACGATACTACATTTTAGGATTACGTATGCTCCAACAAGGTCCACTTGTGTGGATATCAACTTGCTGAAAACGAATTCCGGCGTAGCCAACCTCAACGTGATAATTTTTTATAAACTAGATTGTTTATTTACATTTTGCTTAATATCATTCGTAATGGAACTACCAGATATATGTATGTATAACCTTTTATTCAATGTGATCTTTTTATTTGCAATTATTGGCATATTAATGTTTTCTAAGGAAAAGTGATATCCTTTATTTATAAGACATTTGTGGTCTTAATGCGTAGGTTTAAAAAACCTACTAAAAGTTTAGTGATACGTTAAAAACGCACTTTTAGGCTTCTAAGTACGATACCATTCATTGTATGACACTATAAAATTAAATCAATCAAAAATTTACGTTTTAGGGTTACATTTGTTTCCTTTGCGACATTGTGACTAATTTCATGAAGGAAGCTGACAAAACGGCAACTTTATGCTATGATATCATACTTTCCCAAGATATCAGTTATCAAAGCACAGAGTGGAGCAAAACAAGAAACAGTTTACTATTAACATTGGCCAAACAAGTCGAAGTATGCAATATCAGAATTACCGCAGGTGGACTTTTCGTCATTCATAGAAATTTACTTGTACAAATATTTGCAGCTCTATATTCTTACGTTTTAGTTTTCGTTCAGATAAAATGGTCAATAAATAAATCCACACGTTCTTTTAATTCTACATCTCTATATAATAACAACTCCAGATTTGGTTAATATATAATATACCTATCGAATATTAAATTAATAAAAATGTATTACTTCACCATAGAAATAATAAAATTTGCGTTCCTTGAAATCGTTTTGAATTAATCATTTAAAAATTATGATTATATTTCGATAATTACATCTAATCGATTTAATTGATTGATTATATTGATAGATACATATAAGTAAACACAATAAGAGCAAATATTAAAACGCAAATCGAAGGATAAAATTGATTCAAAATTCTTTAATCCATAAATTGATAAATGGTGCATTTATAGGATTTACTGAGTATCTACGTAGTAATCGAATTTATTTGCAATTATATTCAATTAATAGCTTTCTGATAACAAAATCGATGAATTGGGTAAATTATCCTTTAAAACACATACATATACAGATAAAACGATTGTCGATATCTGCAACTGATTACTGACGTGATTCTTTGCCATTCACCGATTTCATTTTCATTTTCCTTTCCTAACAATATTAATAATACTTAATTACCGTTTCATTTTCTTTAATTGACGCCTATACCTCCTACGTGTTGCACAATCACTCGCGCACTTTTTCATTTAAATGTATTTGCTTATCTTTATTTTCGCACAAACGAAACGAACAACGCCCGACGCTCTCTGACCTGTTCAAACGTGATTACTGCATGACTAGTTAAGTGAAAGGTATTGTTAAAGGGACGATTACCAACTTTGGTACCAACTTAATTTGGCAGAGGATCACAAAAGTACTAGCAATGTACATTTCAATTGATTCACATCATGGTACTACTTACATGAACTATATAGACCAAACACCGTGTATGCCGAATTATTATTGTTATTATGATTATTATAACTATTAAGATTTTTGGTTAAAAGAATGTTTCTTTACATTATTTACAATGGAAATTCGGCAGTCTCAGTGGAAACTGGTTATAAATATTTACTTGCGTATGTATGCATTTATGATATAAAATTTTCCCGTAAGGACGTACAAATGGCACGCAACACGGAGAAAACTAAATTTTTATGACAACGCAAAAATTACAATTTTCGATTGTAAAATAACTGAATTTACCGTAGAAATAGTAGAATTTATTAGGTAACTTGTAATAATCTCAATTTTGACATGTTTCTTTAAAAATTATTTCAAGTTTCTTAATTATTACAATTAAATTTGTAATATCAACTAAAATACCTAGTAAATTTATTTCTGCACATTTTATTATTTTCGCTTACGAAGCAACGGGCTAGTGGTATAAATTGTAAACATCTCTTTAATATTTAAGTAAATTTTCGTTTTTAATTTTCGATTACACAAAATACATAATTCAATCTGCGTTATTGTAACCTCCAGTAACACCATTAATAATCCTTAACGATATGGACTTTAATCCGTCAACAAAAATTGTAACAGAAGCACCCAAAATAAAAAAATGGAAATCAAAAACACCCAGATGAAGAACAACAGCAAGAATATATACACAAAGAAACTTCGAACAGAAAAGGGGTATATCGTCAGAAACTGAAGGATTCGTTATTATGATTGTTGTTAAAATTAAGAGAATTTTTTGAAACTTATCAACATAGCAATAAAAAATAAAAGGGAAATTCTTTGGAAGACATGAAAACTGATTAAAAAGTTTGGCTACTCCACATAAGTATCAAGGAAAAACAATAAACTAGATTGTTTATTTAACTTGTGTCTAATATCGAACAAACGAAATAGCTCAAACCCCAACGCCAAAACATGACACTGAAGTGAACTTCAGTCCCTGAAGAAGGTAACCTTGTTACCGAAAAGCGCTTCGGACAACTACAGTGTCATGTTTTGGCGTTGGGGTTTGAACTATTTTGTTTGTTCTACAACAACCCCCAAAGTTTTTCCAATCTTCATATTTTGTGCTTAATATCATTCATAATCGAACTACCAGGTATATGTATGTATAACCTTTTATTTAAAGTGATCTGTTTATCTGCAATAATTGGCATATTAACGTTTTCTAAAGAAAGGCGATGATCATGCCCATTGCTTGTCGAGTCTATGAAATCTAAAAGTCGACCTAAATTTCTTAATTAACAGCAACACCTCCGATTTTGCTCATTCTTTTATAATGCGTGTTTTTTAATATTATTCAAAATCAGAAATATCCCAGTTTCAGAAAATAATTTTTTATATTGTTTAAACAATAACTGAATTCACAGAATAAATTTCAATTTAAACATCTTTTTCCTGATATTTATAGTACATTATCTATTATTTCATCATAGAAACTGTATTATATCATCATAGAAATAATACACTTTGTGTTCCTTGAAATCGTTTTAAATGAATCGTTTAAAAGTTATGATTATATCTCGATAATTACATTTAATCGATATAATTGATTGATTATATTGATGGATACATTTAAGTAAAAACACAAATCGAAGGATAAAATTGATCTAAAATTATTTAATTCAATAAACTGATAAATAATGCATTTATAGCATTTTCTGAGTATCTATTAATCCAATTTATTTGCAATTATACTCAATTAAAACGTTTCTGATAACAAAATCGGTGAATTAAGTGAATTATCATTTAAAACATTTACATATATAGATAAAACGATTATCGATAAAGATTTATATAACTGCGATTACTGAGATGATTCTTGATCGATTTATAGCACATCCTTTGTCATTCACCAATTTCATTATAATTTTTCTTTTTAACAATATTAATATGAATTACCGTTTAATTCTCTTTAATTATCGCCTTTATCTCCTACGTGTTGCACAATCACTCGCGCACTTTTTAACGTTTCCGTTTTCATTCAAATGCCCGACGCCCGACGCTCTTTGACCGGCTCAAACGTGATTACTGCATGACTAGTAAAGTGAAAGTTATTGTTAAAGGGACGATTACCAACTTTGGTACCAACTTAGTTTGGCAGAGGATCACAAAAATACTAACGATGTACATACAATTGAATCACATCATGGTACTACTTACATGAACTATGAAGACCATGCACCATGTATGCCGAATTATTATTGTTATTATGATTATTACAATTATTAAGATTTTTAGTTAAAAGAAGGTTTCTTTACATTATTTACAAAGGAAATTCGGCAGTCTCGATGGAAAATGGTTATAAATATTTACTTACGTATGTATGTATTTATGATACAAAATTTTCACGTATTCGTACAAATAGAACAGAAGCTCTCTCTATTTTGCGTAGATAAATGAACAAGTTTAACCAAATTAAGCGAGTAGACAAACTAATCTGATTTTTTTTGCATATAAAATGTTAAAAAACGATAAAAATAATGATTTTCGATGAAGTTGGTCGCACAATTATAAATAATACTAATCACTGTTACTGTTACTTAACTTTCATAACCTCAAAATTTACAAAAGAACGCATCTGTTGCATGCTGTATAGAGACTTTTGTGAGTCACTGTATATTTGCAAAATAGATATGTAAAAATTGCAATACGAGACTTGTAATTGGCTATAGAAAAAAAATACTAATAACTAACGATAGGATAACGTATTTAATCATTTTATTAATTATTAGGTACTCATACATTTCGTTTTACCAAATACGTAAATTTGAAATATATATTTTGGTACCCCTTTTTTCCTTTGTTATTTATACAAGATTATTCAACTAAGAGTTTTAATTTAAATGGCATACACTCGTATATAATCAATTTGAAAAGAAGAATCAATTCCTTTCCATGTTGGTAGCCAGTTAGTTTTACCTTTCCAAAAATCTGTCAATGCCTTAAAAAAACGTTATCAATATTATTTACATTTGACGGACAGTGGTACCTATTAAGTATTTAGTACGTATCTATGTCTTTATCAATGAAGGATTTGTTAACTAATGATCTGAGTCTATCTACTGATGATGTAGTTAACTTACAGCAGGTGAATTATTTTTCCATGGTTTCTTTCCATGTTCGTTGACTGCATCGTCAGGAAAATAGTTGATTCCTCCCACAGCCAAATTGATAATAATGTAGAAATCTTGATCAAATGGAGCCATTCGGGATGTCCCCCAAGGATTACTATATCCGCTCTCTGTTAAATTGCCATACTTCCAAAAACCCTCTTTCGGTTTAATACTTCCAATTTCTTCCCCATCAACGGAAAATTCCATTCCTTCAGGAGTCCAGTTCATACAGTATACGTGGAAGTCCGATGCATATCCTTTCTCGTTGTTTTTAGTCCAATGCGTTAAGTGTTGCTTATCCATTATTGGAGAAGGGCCCCAATGGAGGGTAGATGCAGTTTGCTCGATTCCTATGTTTATGCCATTTTGAATTAATTTCTCGTTTCCTCGTATTTCCAAAATGTCTATTTCTCCTGATGCAGGCCAATCACCGTAAACGTTATATCGGGGTAGTAACCAAATTGCTGAAAAATTTTTGTATATATGTTACCGGAAATATACGAAATTCGTCATTGTATACAATTCCTAAGAAATGTATATGATTCCTAAAATCGCCCGGAAAGTTCACACAATTGTATTAGACATATTTCCTAGGAAACTTATACATTTCCTAAATGGCAATCGGAAATTATTACAGGCAATACTAAATAGGCAATAATACTCCAGGCTGTTTGAAGATGTACCTATATCCCTAGATAAAAATTTTCAGTCTCTCCAGTCTCTCAGAGTCTTTCAGTCTTTCAACGTATCTGAGAGCGTCTCTCAGTCTTTCACAGTCTCTCAGTTATTGCCCATGTGTTTTTATAGATATCTCACAGTCTCTGTATGAGAGACTCGAACGATAAAATTGTTAATTCAGAGATTCGAGTCTCTCGTTCAAAGATTCTAGTCTCTCGTTTAGAGATTCGAGTCTCTCGTTCAGAGACTGAATACGAAATGAGTATCTCTCTATGAACGACTCGAGTCTTTCGTTCAGAGACGCTAAACAATTTTTTTGACAGTCTCTCTCAGTGACACCGGAGAGACGGAGACTCGAGTCTCGCTTTCAGAGACTCTGAGAGACAGAACATTTTTATCTCGGGATCCATTGGTGACGTCATTGTTTGGTTAGGGAGATTTATGAAAGACTGAAGTTTCTTTAATGGATAGGTGTGTATTAAAAAATCTTTGAAACAATATTTTATAGATTTCCTAAATAGCCTCGGAATTGTA